CTCTCCTCACCGCGGAAAGTCCTTCTGAGCGCAGCGCTCAGCTGCTGCTGCTGCTGCTGCTACAGCAGAGGCAGCAGAGGGGTGTGCGCTCTGCCCCTGGCGGCGCTTGCTGCAGGCGGGGGTAGTCTTATACGGCCAGTATATCCAATACTCTATATTTTAACAGGAAAAGTTGGAGGTCGTCTTATACGCCCAGGCGTCTTATACGCCGGAAAATACGGTATATGCTGTTCTGTGGGTTCATAAAAATTATGTGGGTGAATTACCACACACTTCCTGTAGAAAGCTAATCTCTTAAGGAGAAAGCCAAGCACATGCCACAGAAATCCTCCAAAGAGGGAGATTCTTTTCTCCATTTGCACTTTCATACAAGCCTACCTAATTTGCAGTTCCCAAACCAACATTTGAACTAAAACAAAGCGTCTCCAAATTTTGTGAAGCACTTCCTCAACCAAAAATGCATACAAAAAAAGAAGGATAAATTAGGTCAGCCTTCCCTTGTATTATATAAACATGCTTCCAAACACGGTTGTCAAGCCCTAATAAAGCAGAAGCACCATGGTCAACTTGTGCATTTGGCAACGTAGTAAATCAATTGGTGCTTATTATATGTTAATTCTTTATTACACATAAGGCTTTAAAAATATCTCTCATTCCTCTTAATTCAGCCCTTGTCCTTTCATTTTAAAGTTAAGCGTCTCTAACCCTGACAGATTGGAAACTTGGCGTAAATGAAGCTTTGCATTGTTCTAGCAGTAATCTTGATACCAAGCCAGAATGTCTTTAGCAACTGCTTAGCGACCACATAGCAGAAAGGTTACATTTGTGTGAATGGTTTTATTCTTACAGAGGCTGAGAACAAAGGGGCAGGGCGGGTCTAGCGGATGTGAAGTGTGAAGATCAAGCTGAACGTGGGACCAGACTTTGCTACTCTGGGCCTACCTAATGGATGCTCCCAGTGTGAGAAGAGGAGAAATGGAGACGTTTCTCGATTCCTAGAATACTGTATAGCTTTTGGCAAAGTTTTGCAACTCAAGCATTCTAGAGCACAGGACTTTGCTCTCCATTCCATGTGTCTATAAAAGCAGTGCTGGTACATAGCAAACCCCCAAAAGAGGCAACATATGTTTGCATCATGCACCTCTTTCGCTCATGTCTCACCATGCTCCTATTTTTTGCTTGATACAAAGGATCCCTGGCCAGGACCCTTTGTATGTATGAGTATCAGCCCATCATTGGCATGGGTGTGGATTAGGGTTGGTCTGTTTAGGCAGGATAATTCCTTCTATCCGATTTATATTTCCCTTCTTCCAAGGTAACTTCGCATAAGGAAGAGGGTGCCCTAGGTGTAAAGGTTTGATAAGGAAATAAGGAGTTATCAACTTCGAACCACTTATGCTAAGGAAAATGCTATACTGCTCCCACCCAAATCACTCTGTTTATGTGGTTACTTTGTGGAGGATGGTTGAACAAGTATCACAAGCAGCTGTTGGATATTTTTTTTTTTAAAATGTGACTAGTGACAAGTAGGACAACTCTCCCATTGTCCGAGACTTTTAAAAGTTATTATTTGCAAAATTTGGTTGTACTCTCAAATTCTACACCTGTAATGTGGGAGCACATATTGAGACAGATTACTTTTAAGCAAATATACACAGCAATCTCTCTTGCGTCTTCCAGTAACGTCTACGACATAAACATTTCGTTTTCGTTTGCATTCATTTTTACTATCTGAACTCATCACCCCTATATTACTCTTACAGGTGAATGCAAATATATTCAGCTTTTTAAAGAGGTGGTAAAGAGTAGCATAGGTATCGTGTTCCCTTCCCTTGTGCACAATCTACATGGATAAGAGACATTTAAAAAGACACACACTAGATTCTTACACAGTAACCAAAAGGATCTTTGACATGCTTTTAGTGATTGTGGAGAAAAGCCCCAACACAAAATGACATGCCTCCTTCCAGTTTCCAGTGAGTGAGGTTGATGGTTTCATTTATCTAAATTAAGTCACCTACTTTGTATTCTGAAGAACCATACTCTGATCCGTCAGGCTCCTCATCTGTGGCCATCACTGGAGCATCTCTTCCCGGTTTACATTATAATTCCAAAGGTCTGTAAAAGTAAAGAATGGATAAAGTCAAATTTCATTTAAAAACTTTCCACTCAGTAAAGCATATTAAATGGTAAGACCATTGGCCATGTCTATAATACTACTAGCACATACACATAAAATCAGCACATCAGCAATTATGCATTTAATTAATCTTTTTAAATTTAATTTAATCAACCGGCCACGCAGCAACAGCTATCAGCCTCTTGTCTATTGCAGATTTTGCCAACCTGGTACCTTCCAGATGTTTTAGACTACAATTCCCATCAGCCTCCGGCCAGGTTGGTGAAGGCTGGGCTAATGCAACTTCTTGTCGATGAAGCAAAACCAATCCTTTAAAACGAAGTAACAACAATGAAGTACCTACTTTACTGTACGCCAACGTGTCAACCTCAAGCATCCTTGACAAAGGGATTGCCACACAAACCTAGGATTGAGTTGTATCTGCAAGAGAGACAGCTGAGACAGTGTGGAGCAAGAACATGTCTTCTTGAAGAATGCTAGACGTAAATAATCCTCATTTGTGTCACGACACTCAAGATGATATGGTATCACCTTCTAGAATGGTATAATGCAGCCTTGACTGGGCAGAATATCTAGCTGTAAATTGTTCCTGGCTTCTCTGTCACATGCATGCCACAATGAAAGAGGCTAAACATTTGTCTGGGGTGAAGTGGGGGATGTTACTTACTGCACGCTCCCATCTGCTTTGCTGAATTAAAAGCTCTTCGTCCGAAAACAAATTCTTCTTAATCTTCCAGGGACAAAAATAATAACAATAACTGTGATTTATGTTCTCCAACAATGTAGCTTTGCCACAATGAATGAAGGCTTTGCTATTGCTCTCATCATGATAACATAGCAGCTGGTTTTAGAGTCAATTCCTTTTTTGTATAAAATTTAATGACTGTGCAGTTATTTAAATTTCAGAGTAACTGCCCAGGCTTTGGAAGCACAATGCTGCTCTGAAAACACAAACTTGAAAGCAACAGGAAAGTTTCTGAAATGCCAGTAGGGAATAAACTTGATAAAGATATCTTGTGTCCTGCCCACAAATGCCTAAAAGTCTATTATTCTATATACAGGGTGAGTCTTTGAAAAGAGGCCACGTGGAACATGTGTACTCTGTATCCATGGGGCCTCTTTTAAAGGACTCACCCTGTATATAGAATATATATGGTGTGGAGAGAACAATCTGGCTCTTAATACGGCTAAGACCAAGGAATTGGTGGTGGATTACAGGGAAAAAAAGGCGGACATTCAGCCCTTGTATATCAACGGGGAACGGGTGGAGAGGGTGGCGGAATTCAGGTTTTTGGGAGTGACTATGGATCAGGGCATGACTTGGAGCGCAAATACCACTGCTCTGGTGAAGAAGGCCCAGCAGAGAATTTATTTCCTCAGACTTTTAAAAAAGAACAATCTGAGTGAGAGACTGCTGGTGTCCTTCTACCGAGGCTCAATAGAGAGCATACTTACATACTGTATTTGTGCTTGGTTCTCCAGTTGTACAGCTAGGGAGAGGAAGGTGCTCCAGAAGGTCATAACCACAGCCCAAAGGATTATTGGTCACCCTCTCCCACCTTTGGAAGAGCTGTACGGTTCCCGTTGCCTTAGGAAAGCAAACAACATCCTGCAGGATCCATCTCACCCGGGATACAGTCTGTTTGCACTACTGCCTTCTGGCAGGAGGTATAGAAACATCAAGTCAAGGACAAATAGACTGAAAAACAGTTTCTATCCAAGAGCTGTGGCCTTTTTGAATGCTGTAACTCGATAGTGAGACCTGGGAGTTTTTGGGGGTGGGTGTGGGTGTGGTTGGAAGGTGGTTTGTTTGGTTGTTGTTGTTGTTTTGCTTTTGTTGTTTTTAAGGGATGGCATCCAATTTCGTTGCACTTGTGCAATGTTGCACTAGTGTAATGACAATAAAGAATCTATCTATCTATCTATATACAACCTGTGTCTACGATGGAGGGGTTCCATCACCTCAAGCATAATCACCCCAAGAGGATCTTGCTTCTCATCTAGCTGCAGCCTTTAATTCAGGTATCAACCATTGTGCTCTGACCCTCTCTCCAGCCTTTACCAACCTGCAAACTTTCCCCACCTCTAGGTCATGTAACACCTAACTCTTAACTATTCTAACCTAAGCTGTGCCCTTATCTGTTGAGGAAGAGAGGCCCCAACCATTTGCTGTGTTACAGGAGTCCCTTTGATGCTTTGTTCTCTTAATGGTCCATCACCCGGGCTATAACTTTGTGGGAAACCAGCCTGGGTTAATTAGCTTTTAACACTTGCTGATTCCACAGGATTAGAAGTGTCTAGCACACATCACCCAAAGCCTCAGTTAAATTCTGACACTTGCTTGATCCAGAGATTGTAGTGGTCTGGAACCCACAAACTCATAACAGTATGTTATAAAATCCTACATCTTCCCCTTTATAGTTTTGGAAAGCACGTACCCTTGCTAGTTTCTCTTATTCATTGGCAATCGTTTGATCATAAGTGTATGATGGCTTATAGCACTTCAAGGCTGCGACCTTATGCCAACTTACCTGGAAGTAACTTCCACTGAATGAGGGAGGGGGGAGTTAATTTTGAGTAGCCATGTGTAAGATTGCACTGTAAGTATGGCTCAGAAAGCCAGTTAAGCAAAACTGCATGCTGCAGCTGGCATGTGGCATGTGGCAGGCCCTTCCATTGTTCTGTGGCTGTGCTTTGGCATGCAGTAGCGAGGCTGGTGACCACACAGTGTGAATTGCAAAAGAGTCGGCCTGAAAGCACAAGTGAAGTTTGATCTTAAAGGGAAACCACCGAGTTTAAAACAAGAAACACGCCTCTAATCTCAGATAAAGCATATTGAAAGCATACATTGACAATCCAATTTACTTTGCACCAGCTATGTGCTTTTTTATTTCTTATAAATAATATGTACAGAACAGGATCTGTACAGAACAGAAAATCTTTAAAGTCCACTCGTTCCTTTCTTTGCTTTAGGTATTTGGTAATGTATACACCTCCTACAAAGCTTAATCCAGCAACGTATTTCCATAAATTGAACCAAAATATGTTTGAAAGTAGCTTGTTGCAGCATCTTCTAAAGTGTTAAAGGAATTACGTGTCATTAACAATTATACAAGGTCCTCCTTTTATTCCATATTTATTATATGAAATCAGATTCCCACATACAAAAAGACAGTGCTATTTGCAAACACCTTAGGTGTTTCCCTAAGCACATTCTCATTCGTTAAAAAAAAATGGAAATAGTTCTTGTTGTATTGACAGCAGCAGGAAACAGGGCCCTTTTAAACAAATACTTCAGGTTGCCTCTTGACAGGTTGAACACCCATCAAGCAGTTCCATTAAGAATATTTGCAATGTTTTAAGTGGCAACATTTCCGACACATTTCAAGAAGGAATCTACTGTAACCCAAGTTGCCTGAGGTGACTGGCGGAGGCGGTGATGGTACCCTTTGCAGCTCAGGAGCCTGAGTTCATTGGGCAAAAGATTCCTGCATTGCAGGGGGTTGGACTAGATGATCCTTGTGGCCCCTTACAACTCCTGCAATTCTGTATGAAACAAAATATCATGAACAAAAAATAGTGGTGCATTTTAGACTCTGGACATAGTCTAAGTATGTTTATGTTGCTTTAGGTGGTATTGTGTGTTGTTTCACTCACAACTTTCAGCGACTCTTATTAAAATACAAAGTACTGGTTGGAGAACTGCATCTCAAAATTCAGATAGGTGTGAATTTTGAAGGATAGCTGTGTGCCAGTATTCACATTTTTTTGGAAAGTGCAGATTTGATAAGATTCACTTTTAAATGCAAACTGAATCAAATCTCTCCCCCATCCCTACCCACAGGCTAATTTTTAAAGTGCACAGACTTATGCTCCAAAGCTAGTCACAAAGCCCAACACCTTAGCTTGATTTTTAAAGTGGAAAGTGGGGTCATAAAAAGTCTTTGAGCCACACTGCTTATTGCTGTGGGCAGTCAGTAGATTATTATTTTCAGATTACCAAGTGGAATGGTCCAGACCCACCATCTCTCCTCTCTCCTTCTACAAAGGCCTGGATTTCCATCCCAAGCAGCGCCAACTGCGAGCAACTCATTAAACACAACAATTTGTTTGAAAAAGAACATGGATTGATTACCTTTTGCACATCAGCCTTTTTAATTTCCTTTTCTAAAAGAAACAATAAAAAGTAAAACAACAGTGCCAGCTCTCGGCACATGCCTATCCAAGGATACCTATACAAGGACATAATATCTATTTCCAAATTATGAGTTGTACATTACAAAGGATATTTAGACGTGAATGCAAAAGGACATGGATGGGAAAGGGAGCAGTAGAACATACAAATATGTTTAAAATAGTTGACAAAATAGTTACATTTATATGGCTTGGCTGTTTTATATTATGAGCATAACACAGAAATGTCAAGTATATTGTTGTATCTCTAAACATAAGACAACTTATGGAAACCTATGTTCAGATGCGCCAACACCTGCCTCAGTTTTGGCAAGAAAAACTGCTTTCTGTTTGCACAGCTGCCCAATCATCAGGATACAAACAGGAGTGGCTAAATTTGGTGCCTTCCAGAGACTGTTGAATGACAAGTCCCAACAGCCAGGAACGATGGGAGTTTTACTCCAACAGCATCTCAAGGCCACAACATTGGCTAACTCTGGGCCACAGAAGTGTGCACCACTTTTGAACTACTGCTTCGGTTGGTTTAACAATATATTTTTTTAAAAATCACTGCTACACACAGATGCCTGCATGACCACTTAATTTTCAGCAACATTATGCACTCGTTTTGCAACAGCAGTAATTAAGGCAGCTCCCTTTCCACTCCCGTCTTCAGACAGCATGAATGTCACATCACATTGAGGCGCCAGTTCTTTTACCGTTTCTTGCAAGATTCTAGAAAAGCTAAAGAGAGGAAAAACAAAGCAAAAAAAAAAAAATTCAATGATTGCCCACTGCTGTTTATTTCTTAACTGGCAAAATGCCTGTCATTATGATGGGTAGGGACAGGAGAATACAGAGGGAGGGCTTTTACACTGTAAGGATTGACAGTAATCCAGTCTCTCTCTCTCTCTCTCTCTCTCTCCTCTCACATAACATCTTGGTACCCCCTGGCAGATCCCGCTCCCAGTGACAGGTAAGTCAACCAGCATCAGGGGCAAGAGGGCAAGTTCTTCTCTCACCTCAACTGTATCTGCAAGTACAGCTCTTTAGCTTTCTCCATGGAAAGCTTTCACTAATATAAGTGGCAGGGGAAGTAGAGGGGTGCCCTGGGGTGCAGCATTGAGGAGGCTGCTGCAGAACAGCTAATAAAGCACAATGTGGTGTGGATGGTCCAGTATAAATCCACCACTAATGCATCCATATTGCACAGGAACATAGGAAGGTGCCTTCCTATTGGTCTATCTAGCTCAGTATTGTCTGCACTAGCTGGTGGTGGCTCTCTAGGATTTCAGGCAGGATTCTCTCCCAGCCTTACTGGGGCTTGAACCTAAGACCTTCTGCATGCAAGACAAATGCTCTACCACTGAGCTATGGCCCTTCCCATCTATGACATGTTGAGGAAGGCCTTCAGAAAATCACCCATCTCTTTGGAGGGGCCTGTAGCCCATTAAAAGCAGAACTTTTCCCAGCTCTTTATTACAATCTTATTCAAGCAAGTGTAATAGGGCTAACTGATACAGCATTGTGGCAATTTCTCTTTCCCCCAACCTTGTTAATCCCCATCAACTAAGCAGAATATTATCTTTTTTAAAATCGGTCAATTCTGCAAAGCAAAACAACAACAGTGATGCTGTGTACTCACTGTGGGTGTAGTTTGTATAAGGTGCCATCCACACCTACAGTGGTTTTTAAGTGCTCAAGTTTTCTGTTGTCCCGTATCTTCTCCACTATAGCGGCCAGCCCAGCCCCACACAGCTGGGCTGCTCTCTTCGAAACGGAGCCACAAACTTCCTTTACAATGATACTGTCATCACAAGTGCTGTCAAGCCCAAGCTGCTGCAAGATTCTTCTTACTTGAAGTAGGACAAGCCGGTCACTGCACTCAGCCAAAACACAATAGGCACTTCTGGTTAGGACACAGAGCTAGGGCCAAATGTACTGGAAGGCAGCACTGGTGTAAGAAGACACAAAGTCCTTTGCAGGGACACACTTTTCCAGCACTACTCCCTCCCATCTGTGACCATGCCCCTACTTTTTCTAAATAAGTCGATAGATGAAGAAGCAGTGAGTGAAGATCTGAGACAGGAACAAGGTGGGGGAATAAAGATCTATTTCAGGATCTGCTGCCCCTGTGGACACAGCCACCAGTCGCCTCATTTTGTCTCATAGGTGGGCCAGCCCTGTGTCATGTTATGAAGTGGCAATCATCATTACCCTGTTCAGACTAAACAGGGAATTATGATAAATAACTAAAGATTTCCTTGTTTCCTTGCTTGCACCTCAAAGGGAGGAGAGAAAAGGCTAAGAGCATGGGAAAAACATTTCTTGATACTTTGGCTTATTCAGTCAAGATTTAAATGTCTGAATGCAGACATTAGTTTAAAAGCAGGATGCTACTATTTTGGCTCTCCTGGGTGAAATGTACTTTTCAAAATTAGCATCATCCATGCTCACTCAATCCAAGGGCATAGGGAATAGCTGCTCATTTCCACCCCCTCCAATCTGAGGACAAAGCAGAAAGGATCACTTAAAGTTTATGAATCAGCAGTGCAAACAGTACAGACTCGAAGTACTTTACTGCTGAAAGCAGTGTGACACTGATGTTTGAAATACACTGGGTTCATTCACACCCAATAAAACCCAAGTAAAGTTGTTCACTGTAGAACTGCAGATGGCCCTGAGTAACAGGGTTCAGCTTCTCAGTCAACCAACACTTCTTTTTCCCAACTGTATTATTTTCTGATGATGTATAAAATATTTACAAAGCTGCAATCATTCAGCTGCTTCTCACTAGTCTGATATGTGTGAAAGTGTCAGGCGGTGGGGAAAATACTCTATTAGTACAACACATTGTTTTACCTTTCAATCTGGGACAGGAATTTGGTTTCAAATATTCCTCTTGTTCTCAGCCGCTCTGAAATCTGACCCCGGAAGAGAAGTCCTTGCTTGGTCAAGTCTATCAAGATCTGTCTCACTATTTCACCCAGATACATTCCACTCGTCATTTTCTCATACCTTATACAGAAAAAAGAAAAAGGATTTGGACAGCATTTAACACATTTTCAGTTACCTATGCAAAAATGGGGCCTGGGATATAGTCTGTGTATACCACATGCCTTTTCTGAACATGTGCATTGACTCTTAGGATGGAAATAAACATGACAGCAACAGACTCATGCTTTGTAAGGTGTTTTAAAGTGGGATAGCGGGGGTGTTCTTAAGTGGAAAGATTACTCAAAGTTCATATATGCCTAGGAATGGAAGAAACTGTGATTTCTATTCCAAGCTGTGCTCATCACAATCAACAGTTTCCGTTGCACTGTACTTTGGTTTCCACTAAATGTAATAACATTCACCTCATTGTCTGCTACTTAACATACTTTACGTAACTTACATTCGTTTCAATGTCAAGGAAACATCAAAACAATGTAAAAAGGTTATTACTGTTGTACTGTTTGTGGACATAAAAACAGCTGTGATGATGATGTGAACAAATACCAACTGTGTTCACTTGAGTGATTTCTATTCCTGACTACACATGAACACGCAAACTACTATTTCCATCTCCTTTTCTAATAGAATTATCTGCCATTCCTACATACTTCCTGAAGACGTTGCAATAGCAATAAAACGCCGACTGTTACCTCTGTTCTCCAGGATTCAATGACCCCTCATCCACTTCTTTGTCATATTTTGTCCTGAGATTATCTATGCAGCCATTGTCGCCAAATCCTCCCCATTCTGTATTGATGCACATTTTGCCCTCATCTCCTTCTACAATTTCTATATTACGCATGTCTTCCATGTAGCAAACATTACTGCCTGTCCCTGGAATGAAGAAAGAGGCATGTGTATTTTATTCCTTTAAAGCAACCACCAGGAATGAAAGACCTGGGGAATGAAAAAAACATTTCCTAGAAGAAGTTTGATTTTTTTCTCTAAGTGGGAGGTAAAATTTAGGGGCTAAAAGTAGGGGCAGGCGAATCTGTCAACTTCTGTTTTACTCACTCAGCTTCTCATGTTTCTAGTCTTATGTTCAATTCCCCACTTTAAAAAAACAACACTAAGCGCTTATGAAAATTCAGCAGCATTTCACTGTGAATTTCTCATAACAGACATATCTTTGCAAGCAATGTTAGTATACACAATTTTGCAAAGCAGTTTTCCATTATGTTTTGCATGTTGGTATTCTCTTTTCAATAATATATGCATGTAAACACACACTTTACTGCAATATATACATTTCTGTACACATTACATGGCTTTGCAAAATTCTGAGTTGTGCGAATTTCAAACAGCGGCTATGTTTCAGTTTGTATATTGTTTCAAAAAGTGTGACTTGGGTAAAGGTAAAGGTACCCCTGCCCGTACGGGCCAGTCGTGTCCGACTCTAGGGTTGTGCGCCCATCTCACTTAAGCCCTGTCCGGAGACACTTCCGGGTCACGTGGCCAGCGTGACGAAGCTGCAGCTGGCGAGCCAGCACCAGCGCAGCACACGGAAACGCCGTTTACCTTCCCGCTATAAAGCGGTACCTATTTATCTACTTGCACTTAGGGGTGCTTTCGAACTGCTAGGTGGGCAGGAGCTGGGACCAAAAGACGGGAGCTCACCCCGCCGCAGGGATTCGAACCGCCGACCATGCGATCAGCAAGTCCTAGGCACTGAGGTTTTACCCACAGCACCACCCGCGTCCCTGTGACTTGGGTAGGGTTACCTTTAAATGCGAACTAAATCAATTTTATGCCCTATATCTAGGTAACTAAGGTTCATATTATAACTTGGGATGCAGTGTATACCTCATACCACTAGGTGGCATGCAACACTTTGTAGGTTCCCTTTCTCTCCTCATCTGTATTGCTCATAACATTATTAGTTTCCATCATTCCCATCAAGGCTCACTGTAATTCCCATCATCTATAATTTCCACCACGTCTGACTATTGGCCATGCTGACTGGGGCCAATTAGAGTCCAATGTCATCCAAAAGACCAAAGGTTCTCCCCTTCTTGCCCACAAGAATCCATCCCCAGAAACAGCAAGTTGACCAAGATTCCATCTCCCAAAAGATTTTAGCATATCATTTCACTGTTGGTTACAAATCTTATTCTGTCACACCCTGGAACATCCATACACAAGTGTTACAGGATTGCTTTTTACCTGCAATGAGGCCGATTTCACAATTTGAGTCTTCATAGCCACATGTCATCATTGTCCCAACTGTATCATTTACCACTGCTACAATATCCAGATCAAATTCCTGAAATAAAAAACTGATTTTGTGAATGGGCAAAGAGCGAAAAACAAACAAACACATACACACCCTTTGATGTATCGTGCACTAAGCACTAGCTTTATACTATCTATCATCATGAAAGCACAATAAAAAGGATATCCGAAGGAGTCCACAGAATGAAACCAACACCTTTGAAAACATTTAGAGTATTTGCAGCACCTAGTGATAGAGCTACATTTGGATAACTGAGATTCAGTTCTATACTACTGTCATAGCAAGGGACTGGTGCTTGAACCTTTGGGAGATTTCCCCACAATGGTACTTACATTCCTTCGTTTGATAGCTTCCCTGAGCATATCAACAACATCCTCTCCTTCGCAGTCTGTTGCCTTGAACCCTTTTGTCCACCCAACAAGAGTTCCCTAAAGTGGGGAAGTCATACAATCAATAAATGAAAGATGCTTACACCAAGAGGAGAAAAACAGGTAGAACACTTAAAAGTTGGACTACACTTTCAAGAGGAGCTTGGTTCAACATATTGCATTTTGGGGAAATATTAAAATACCAAAATGCTCCCTTTCTGATAGAGGGGGATGCTTCAGGGAACAGAGCAGGAGGGCTATACACTCTGTCGTTGTGGGCTTCCTGCATCAAGCAAGAGTCTGAACAAGGTTATCTCTAAGATCCCTTCCAAATGTACACTCTCTGGCAAAAGAGAGCTTGCCAACTCCCAAGGCAGCCCGTTACATACTTGGCATTGGAAAGTTTAAACCAGTGGTACTTCACGGTATGCCAGGTGCCATAAGTAACTGGCTGGCCATGGCTGAAGCAGAAAGCTGGATGTTTTGATTGCTTCCTGTAGCAGCATCCCTGATGGAAGTGCATCACTGGTATCAGAAGTGGCCATGCAATTCAAACTGACTGCCACTCCTGTTATTGTTGCAACACACAAAGCCTATGACAATATAGAAGTGGTTTTTCAGTGTAGTGGTTTTTCAATGCAGAAAAAAAACATATACATTGGACCCAATCTGAATTATTGTTTTTTATTCCACACATCCTTAATAATTTGCTTTAACTCTCCATGAGCATCAGCAGCCTTGTGTCAAGCATGCCTTGTCCAAAGTAAATCTGCCTAAGTGCGTGTAAGAATGAGATTGTTTTTTGTTTAACACATTCAATTTTATACACTCTCTGGTAAAACCTGTGATAAAACTCTTGTCAGTCCACAGGGAAGGGAAGGGAATAATAAAATAATAATGAAATGTTTCTATGGAAAATTCTGCAAAGATTAAGACAGATTAAAAGAGGAAACAAAACAGCATGTCAAATCTCAGCTCCCCTCCTTACCTTATCAATACATGCTTGTCTGCAGGGGAAGGAAAAAGTAAAGCCAAGAGGAAGTCGGGCACCCTTAATGCCCATGTACTCCAAAAAGTCTGCAATGCACTGGACAATGTGATCAAACAGCTAGAAGGGAAGAAAGAGAATATTATTGGAGTTCTTGGTGCTTTATGTTTGTGGAGTCGAGTCAGAAGAAGGCAGTGGAGGACAAGGACTGGGGAATGTAGAAGGAAGGTCTGAGTGGGAGGTGGAATGGCCAAAGGCTTGCTGGGGGTAGCTTAATTGTTTGGCTTCGGCTGAAGGGACAAAGGAAGAACCAATCTGCACTGGGGGGGGGGGAGAGAAGTGAGGAGCAGCTTAGCATGTTGGTCTCTGGTGAGTGGCAGGATCACCAGAGGGAAGATTTCAATAGCAACACAGCAAGACACACCTGCACTTCAGTAAATCAGTAAAGGGTGTGTGTGTTTTTTGGGGGGGGGGGGAGTCCTCAGTTACAGCATTAATGGGACTTACTGGGATGGAGAGAATAAAAGAGCAGTTTTGCTAAACACTTTCATAAGGTAAGTAAGTGCTTCCTTAAAGCTATCTTAATTTAACATTAATAGCTGGATATTGTTGTTGTTGGCATCTATCTGTCTCAGGAGACATTGCATGAGTGCGCCTTTGGGGTGAGGTCAAACTCAAAGTAGCTGGGGATAAGCTGTTGGTATTTAAAGTGACAAGAAAGTGTATACATTTAAATATACTATACTATCTTAAAGTAACCAGATAAGCTTGTGCACTTAATAATCTTGTTGCAAATAAACGTAAATACTTTACGTATAATATCTATATCTGATTGGCTTTGTATCATGCCTGCACCCCATAGTCACTGGTTTATTGGTAAGTTAAGGGTTCAGAAGGAATAAGTGAGACTGAATGCTGTCAGTGGCAAGGGTTTAGGAGAACCACTGGAGTGGGAATTGCGTTCTGTTATTACAGAGTAATAAGTAAATACCCCATTCCCTCCACAGGTTCAATAAAAATAAATAACTGGCTTGTTTTACTTTACCTCTTCACCTGTTCCCTGCATAATTTCCAAAGGAATGGCAAAGATTTTATTGTACATTCGGACTGATTTGCTTCTTCCACTTCTGATTTTTACAAGCAAAACTCTGAAATTTGTTCCCCCAAGATCAAGGGCCAGAAATTTTCCATTTTCTGCAACAGAAAAACCAGCATTTTAATCTGACTGAAGTCTTCCTTCCTAACTGTTGGACAGAAAGGCTTCTGGAATTTCCAAATCAAACTTGCTGACTCTGAGCTTCTTGTTCAAAAAAAATATAAATCACTTTTCAAACATGTTCACTGCTTTCTGGGCTTCCTGTGACCTTATCTGTTGTTTTTATTACCTCCTCTCTCTCTCTTTTTAAAAGCTTTTTATTTAATTTTTTGTTACGTCCAAGCACATGTAAACACCGGAAAAACCAGGTCAGTAACAGAGAAAAATACAGAGTTGTGAAATAAAATAACAGCAAACCAGTGTACCAAACTACAATCTTGTTTCTGGAATATCAGATGGTATAACCATAACAAGGAATGAGAAGCTGGGGGGATATGGGAAGGTCCCCTGTCAATATAGTCAAATAAGCGAAATCAATCTGCGTCAACCTTCCCCTTCGTTTTAGATATGCTTTTCTGTGTTCTTACCTGTTCCATCTGGTGTTCCATAAACAAATGTGGGCAGCATTTTCACAGTGGCTACAGGATGCGTTTCTTTCTTCAGGCCATACTCCAGTTCTGCCCTCATTCTGTTTTTCACACCTATGAGGTTCTCTTTGGTTATTTTGAAGAGGCTCAAGACCTCGTTGATCTGTTTGCGCTGAGATAAGAGTCTGCACGCAACAGCAGTTACCATCGCAGCCCCTTTCCCACTGCCACTCTCGGACAGCAGAAATCGAACGTCACAGTTGGGCACCAGCCTTCTGACTACTTTATGGAGACGCTTAGCATACCTAAAGCCAAAAAGGTCTTTTAAATGCTTACAAATATTGTGTGTACAATAAAATACAAGGGAGCACACACCATTACGCTAAATCGCTTTCTCCCTTATGCCGCTTAGGACTTTCACAGATCCTTTCACAAATCCTTTTGATTCAAGTCCACACAGTTCATGAGCACAAAACAAAAGATCTCTGATTAATCAAGTCAAAGGCCTACCTGCTCCCTCCTCTCAGCATCCTGTTTCCCTCATTAGCCAACCAGATGCCAATGGAATACCTACTACTACTACTACTAATAATAATAATAATAATAATTTATTATTTATACCCCGTTCATCTGGCTGGGCTTCCCCAGTCACTCTAGGCAGCTTCCAAAAAAATATTAAAAATACTGTAATACATCAAACATTAAAAGCTTCCCTAAACAGGGCTGCCATAAGCAGGGGCAGACTTCCATAATTTTTCAGAAATTTGTGCCCTGTGTGAGGCCAAAATATGGCACCATCAATGGTTCTTCTCACTTATGGATCATCTCAATTTTGCACCCCCTCAGCTTGGTGGGTGCAAGATCCATGCCAAAAGCAGGACGTGTGGGGGAAACAGAATCGCAGAGAACTGTCCACAGATTTCCCTGGCAATAACCACTGCCAGACCATTCTTCTGAAGTTCCATAAGATCTTATTTAGGCTAGTTTTTTGCTGACCAAGCGGTGCCTCTGAGGGCAGTTTTAATCAAGAACCAAGTAGAAAGCTTTGCTAGATCAGAATATCAAACAGTGGCTAGCCATCTGTGGAAAGCTCATCAGTTAGGCATTAATAGCAATAGCCATTTGCTCAAGTTTGACTACAGCATCTGGTAACCAGAGAAATACTGTATCAAGTTGTATCCCTTCTACTGGTGCCCTTCTACTGATGGAAGGTTCTTTGATCCAGCAGATGCTTATGTCACTATAATGGCAAAGGAGGCACATTTTTGCCAATTCCTCACTGCAGCCTCCACACCATCCTCCATGTTGCTTCTGAAGGGAGAGGAAAATCAACAAAAAAAATTGCCCCTCTAACTCCATTCTGCCAATGGAAGCCTCCACCAGATCAAAGAGTCTTCCATCAGTGGACAAACATTATGGGATACATTAAAGTTATGTATAGCTATCACAGCCAGTAAGTGTTGACAGCTCATGAATTTTTCTGACCCTTTTTCAAAGGCAACTTGGCTCATAGTCATCATGATTGCTAGATGACTGCATACCCTTAAATTAATTATCATATGCAGATGAGCAATGATCATTTCCCCAGGCATGACCACCCAACCTACTTCGATGTGACTTACTGAGGGTGTATCTTATACAGCGTCCCATCAACTCCCACGGTCGTTCGGAGCCTTGCAACCTTTTTATTTTCACGGAGGCGTGTGAGTATAGCTGCCAAAGCTGCAGCACAGAGGTTTGCTGAGCGAAATGAAACAACAGTGCAGACGTGCTGAACAGCAATGCAGTCATCCTCCGATGGAGCCAGGCCCAGTTCCATCAGAATTTCTTTAGTATTGCTCAAGCCTTCTTTGTACCTAACCCGAAACAAAGGAATCAGAAACATGCCTGAGGAAACCACTTCAGCTTTTAGTAGTGAGAGGGAGACAGAGGTGAACCACTTTCTGTATGGAACCAGTAAGCAGGCCAGAAATTTCTGAAAGTAGGTGGTCATGTGTCCTACTTTGCAGAGGACAGTCCTCTATTTGAAGGCATCTTCTATCAGAAGGGCTACCTGGTCCAAATCGAATTAAAGATAAAGACTGCATATACACTATACATTTAAAGTGTGTTGCTTCCCCCAAAGAATCCTGGGAGCTGTAGCTTACCCTACATAGAGTTACAGTTCTCAGCACCCTTGACAGACTACAGCTCCCATAATTCTTTGGAGGAAGTCATGTGCTTTAAATGTGCACAGCCAAGAAACCATAAGAAAAGAGAGCAGAGGCCTTGCAGTTGCCCACCAGCAGTTTCTACCTGGTCAACAGACCCTTGGCCACCATCTCCCCTACTGTCCTGAGATGTACTATGTTTCTATTTAAATCATGGTAATTTCTAAAGGTGCATCTATACATGCCAATTAGTACATGCAGATTACATGCAAAGCTGTGTCCTATTTTTTGCAGCAACATGTACTGCTTTTGTGTGATTGAATGTCCACTCTATCTGAAATCTCATCGTACCTGGTCTGATCTATGGAGCAAGAAGGAGGAAGAGGCTGCCCTAAATAACATCTGCAAGCGTTTGGCCTCACCAAAGCAGAGTAGCTTTGAAGGCAGAGTAGCTGCCCAAAATCAATGCTTGCACAAATTGTAGGACGGAAGCTGCACTTACAGAAAGCTCTCTGATGGACAGATTAAAGCCTCTTACTTTTCCATGGCAGCAATGTGTTTTGTCTCAATCTTGCCCTTGGTGCAGAGAGCTGTTGACAACTTCCCGTTGAAAAGCAAACCTTCCCTTGTCATTTTCAGAAGGATAATTCTTACGAGTTCTCCTAAATACAAACCACTAATCATCTTCTCAAACCTGCAATTCAACAGAAAGCTGTAGTCAGAAAGCATCAAGGGCATTTCATGCTTTCTAATAAAGAATTACATTTACATTTCTTGGAAGAAATCCAGTAATTTCCCCCCCAAAAAGGAGAAAAAACTGTTCCCAATGACTCATTTGTAATATTAATCCTCTGTCTGGAAGCGCTCCCTATTAAAATCATTATTGTTATCATGATTACCTATTGCTACTACTGCTACTAAAAGGTAAAGGTACCCCTGCCCGTACGGGCCAGTCTTGACAGACTCTAGGGTTGTGCGCTCATCTCACTCTATAGGCCGGGAGCCAGCGCTGTCCGCAGACACTTCCGGGTCACGTGGCCAGCGTGACAAGCTGCATCTGGTGAGCCAGCGCAGCACACGGAGACCCACAAAGGATTGTGGAAAGAAAGATGGCAGCAAAGGACTCTTTATTCTTTTACACCCCCCTTCCTCCTCTTTGCAGTTAAGTTACTGCTGGAATGGGGGAAGGACTCAGAAAAAAATTCCCAACTCAGAACACATACACTGCGCCACACACAATTTATTTAACGTGGGCCATTCAGCACCCTTCTGTGAAAGTACAGTTAGGAATGTGTTTGGGGTCAGAGAGAAGGGCACTGTCCCCCCGCCTACCCCAAACAATCACTGGAAGGATACTAAACCCCTGGGGATTTAGGATTTAACCAGATTCTTGGCCAAAACACTCCTCCTAAATAGTATCAATGGTGCTTCACAGTACTTGCCTGCCACTTAATATATTCAATGCTACTTCTGTCCCAGTGTTATTTCATGGTTGTTTTGAGATGGTGCACATGCCTAAATATCTACATTACTAGAAAGATGCCTTATCCCAAGCTGATGACTAAACTTACAATTGTTTTCCAGGATTGAAAGAGCCCAAATCAATCTCCTTGTCAAACTCTGTCCTGATGTCATCCAGTGATGCGTCATCTCCAAAGGCTCCCCATTCGGTATTAATGCACATCCTTCCTTCATCACCTTCCACTAAGTCAATATTGCTCATTTCCTCCATGTAGCAAGCATTTGTGCCTGTTCCTGAGTCCAGCGGATTCATTTTGGAGGTTGTTGGGAGAAGGGAAGGGGGGAAGAAACACATGGAGATGTGTAGACTTCATAATAATAAAAATATTGAATTGAATTTTTCTAAGAAAAAATAATTTTTGTGCCTTGTGCAATGCCACATGGGCTCAACTGTTCTACACTCCCAGAACACTCACTTTATCTTAAGCCAGATTGGCCCTGCCTCTGGTAAAAAAAAAGATATAGAATTACCAATAATGACACCAACTTCACATCGCTGATCATCGTATCCACAGGTCATCATCGTTCCAACTGTGTCATTTACCAAAGCCAAGATATCTACATCAATGTCCTAATGAGGCAAATGCAACATACCAGTAACGTCAAAATAATACATATTCAGATTCTTACAATCAATAAGGACCACAGTGTTTTCAAAAACAAAATCAGCTTAATACCTAGGGATGGGAACTTCAAAGTGGAGGTGCATATCACCACCACCTAGAAGTTTCAGACAGACAGACAGACCATTATACTCTGATGAAATGCACAAGTTGATCCAAGTCCTTTCATTTACTTCAAGGAAGGAAAAAGCTCCGACATAACAATTTTGTAGGTTTGAATGGGGCAGTTTCTTTTTCTGCAGAGCGCTACATACGGTATGTGCCAATGTCCCAGCTTGTACACCAGAACTGCTAGGAAATGTCAACTTTTTTTTTAATGCAATCAGATTATTAAAAACAAATATTAATTCTGAACTTGCCTGGTGTTTTCTGAGGGCTTTCTGGAGAGATTTCACCACATCTGTCTGCTGAACCCCTCTGGCTTTAAAATGCTTTGTCCAAGAAATCAGTATACCCTTGAAATAAAAGAAGAAGCAATTATCCATTAACAATGTGTGCAGCATGGCTTAAAGAGTAGCATATAAAGGAGAAAGAGAGAGCCTATTTTTGTGTGCATGTGTGTGTTATTTTTTCTTTCTCTAGTTTATGTATGGGCTGGTGTAACATATTGACTATAATTTACCGGTAGTTCATGATCTAATGTATTGTTTTGCTCTAATTTTAAATATTAATAAAAAATTAAGAGTGTATAAAACCTTAAAACATTTTTAAAGCATCAAATATTTGATTGGACAGATATGCCAAGAGGCAGAAGTAGTATAAAATCCATATATTTTGGGGGAAATACAGAAATTGATTATCTTTGGAGAAATCACTTGAAAAATGTGTTTATTATTATTATTATTAGTAGTAGTAGTAGTAGTAGTATACAGCCCTTCATCCAAAGATCTCAGGGTGGCTCACAGCATAAAAATACAAGATAGAAGCACAAAATACACAATAAAAACTGGAACACATTGAAGAAGGATATAGGGTGTTAATCAGCCAAAGGCCTAGTTGAAGAGGAATGCTTTTGCCTGGCACCTAAAGATGTATAATGAAGGCACCAGGCGAGCCTCCCTTCATCTAAGCATTAATCAAAACTGCATACAAAAAATTGTACACCGGGAGATATATAATGCTGATGAATTTTCGAAAGGATTTAAAAAATGGAAATGAGGAGAACTGACTCGGAAAACAAAAAGCTGAAGGAAACTGAAATTGACAAATTTGTCTATCCCAATGCACTTTCAGGTTTTCCCAAGGCAGAAGGACCCATATTTCCTGCTTTCCGAGTCCCATGCAGTGACTTGTCCTAGTATTCTTGTCTCTGCACAACTGCTATTCCCATCCCATCACACTCTCAGCCCCTGAGTTTTAGAAGGAAAAATTGTACACCTGTTTTATATGCTTAGTGTCACAACCAGCAGATATAATGCACACTTCTGCAAAGCTATATTCTCTGCATAACGAATTCTATACCTTCCAAGCATGGGCAAAGTGGCATTTCAGGAGAGCCCCTGCTGCTTGCTAATGGCAGCTTCTCAGCTCTGGAGCTCTTGGTTAATAATTTGGGAGAAATTCACCCTGGTTACAAAGCCATAAAGAACATTGGTCTTACCTCCTCTAATTTTCTCTGTATATAAGGAAAAGATAGGGTAAAGCCAAGAGGAAATTTCTTATGCTTTATATTCTTTGTCTCCATGAAGTCTGCAAGACAGTCAGCTACATACTGAAACAGCTGCATGAAAATAGGGGGGAAGTGTGAGTTATTATATATTACCTAGTAGAATACAATGCAGGCTCTGTATGGCTCAAATGGAATAGGAGGTAATGCAATGCCTTTAATTAACAATGGTTATATTTTCTATCAATATGATAACAAAAAAAGCCTAAGGTACATTATCACAAGGTCAGCATAAACGAGGCTGCATTCTGAGTAGGGTTGTCATCTGTCCAGAATTTCTTCGAATATTGCTCTTGGAAGCAGTGTCTGGGCTGAAATCAGCAGAAATGTCATATGGCACCACATGTCAGCAGTGCCGTTTTTGGCAATTTTACTGAAAAAAGGCTCAAAAACGTCCATTTTGTTGTTCCAATTTTGCCCAAAAAGCTCAATAACTTTTGCTTCCAGATTTTCACTTATTGAAATATGGCAACCCTAATTCAGAGGGTACTTTATCTCATCTTCCCAACAGTTCCTTACCTGTCAGTTTTCATGTTTTGAGTAATCTTTCACACAATGTAAAACCCACTTTTGGAAACCTAGTGGAATCTAGCAGAAGTTTAGCACTCAATTCCCTCTTAATTTTCTCCAGAAAAATAAAATCTGTTTGCATATTAACTAGGAGAACCTCGGGAAATTTGTGCTCTGTAGCTTCCCTGTTGTTTTCACTGAAACCCATGTGATGAAATTTGGGACAGTATCCTGGCATACTGTTATTTCCTGCCATTTAAAACTTAGTACATCATGGCAGTATAGTGATCAAAACACAACAGGGTATTGTGGTGTGAAAGGAATGTTAGAATTTGGGGTAGAAGTGCTAGCGCTATAACTCATAAAACTAACACAATAATGTGTCTGAATGCAGCCATAGCCTCTGTATCCTATATCTATTATCCCCCAGTATCCTATGCATCTATCATCCCAAAATTGTCACTGGTTTGCTAAAGATTAATGCATATTCTCAGCATGTGGCAGCCATGGTTTGGTTGACTTTTAGTAAGCCATGCTCATTTCCAGATGCAGCTGTTGAGGTGCTCTGAATAACTATTCCCAGAGAAAGTTGTATGCCTTGGGAGCTTGCAAATATTAAAACTAAAATTGGCTAATATGATCTTTTTATGTCTTAGGATACATTCTTCACAGAGAGCATGTTTCAGAGGAAGATACGCTACTTACATCTGTCCCACTCCCATGGATGATTTCTTTAGGTGTTGGATAGATTTGACTCTCCATTTGAACATTTTGCTTCCCATTTTCAGACACTTTGACCTTTAGGACTCTGAATCGGGAGCCCCCAAGGTCTAAAGCAAGAAATTCGCCCTTTTCTGTAACATAAACAACAGGTAGAAATGATTGGGTCTTCCAAACTTCAGGTAACTCTGCATCAGAGCGCAAGCAGGGTCTCAGTAGAGAGATCAGACATGGGCATTGGTGCCATTCTTACTATATTTTTTAAAAGCCAAATATTCTAGAAACTCAGTTGCACAAATGAGGCATGTATGCTTCTTAAAAGATTTCTCCAGAAGCATCTCCACCAGGCATCTAGCATTATGCTACGTAGCATACCATGTGCCACAGTAGCGAAATGGTTCCCCCAAAGTCACAATTCTCAGCGACTGGCATTCAGAGACATACTGCCTCTGACATTCCAAAATGCACACAGGCAAAAGACACAGAATCATAGAATTGTAGAGTTGGAAGGGACCCTGGGGGTCACCTAGTCCAACCCCCTGCAATGCAGGAATCTCAACGTAGAAAACAATTGTGTGTTGTCTGGTTGTTACAGATCGCCCAATGTATTTGTACTATATGGTTGATATTAGAGCAGAGATGGGGAACCAGTGACCCTTCAGATGTTGCTGGACTCCCATCTCTAGGTTGGCAGGCAGCAACCAAAGGCAAGTACCTGTTCCAACACTGGTGCATTGCAATTTCTGCCCAAAATTAGAGGACACAGGATCTTGGTTTTCCTTCGTTGTGCTTTAACTGCCTACTTATACAATCCTGGAATTCATTTCATCTCTTTGAGGGGAGATGGGGAAGATAGGCAGCTTCATTCTCCTCTCACACTGCCTCCTTGTGCTCTGCTTTTGGCTTGGGGAAATCTCAGCGCCGCTATCATGAACCATCCTCTTAAAATTAACAAAATAAGAAGAGCCCTGCTGGATCAGGCCTAAGGTCCATCTGGTCCAACATCCTCCAACCAGAAGCCCATGAGATGCCTTCAAGCAGGACATGAGTCTCCCCACTTGTGATTAACAGCAACAGGCATCCAGAGGCGTTTTGCCTTCTGATGCTGGAGACAAATCATAGCCATTGTGGCTAGTAGCCATCGATAGCCTCATTGCTATCGTTGATAATGGCAGGAGGAATGCAGAACGGCTGCTTACCTGTGCCATCAGGAATGGACCGCACAAAAGTTGGCAGCATTTTTAGTGTGGCTGTTGGATTGGTGTCTCTCGCCAGGCCTTTCACCATCTCTGCCTGGAAACGGGCCATCAAATCAAGGAGGACGTCATCAGAGAGACGCATGTGGTACAAGTACCGATCAACCTGGGGCAAGAGGTTCAATATATTTTTTACTAATTGTTATTATGAATAAATATGTGTTTATTTCATAAAATTTATACACAGCTTGGTTGTGTGAGTGTTTTTTTTAAAAAAGCAACCACATACCTTAAAGCAGTTTTCCCTTGCAGAAGGGTGGCCTCTTTTTCTTGCACTGACTAGTAGCGACACACATGCAAGAATACATGCACACATCCCATGTACACAGACCTGCAGTTGCAATCTCATTGGTGTACACTCCATCAACAACCCATATCTGCCCAAAGAAGCTTCAAAATACAAGTTGCTACTAGGAACAGAAAGGGCAAGAAATTCCTTGTGCTAGTTGCCTTTGCTTTGGAAAAGAAAAACCATGAGCCAAGCAAGCTGTGTAAACCCTGCAATATTTTTGTTCAATATAGTGTTACTAGACATTCTTCAAAGTCCATGTTCCCTGACTTTGCTACCATCCCACACTGTAGCAGTGATGCTTATAAGCTGTTTTTTATATATATTCTCCCACCGCCTGCTTTTAACCCACTCACAACCCATGTAGGGCTGCAAAGAAACCCTAGATTTCAAACACATTTTCCTTCCAAAGAGCCAAGCACCAGCTTAGCAACCATTTAAAAGTGCCATCACTAAAGCATGTCTGGGGGCTAAGCAGGGAGAGGGGAGGCTTGGTAGCAGTGGCAAACAACAGCAGCAGGAGCACTTATTGGCATCAGTGGCCCCAAGGTGGGATCACACTGAAGTTTGGCATTGGCCCTGCACCTCCTTGACAATATGTTTTTCTTTCTCTATTCCTCCCTCTTATTTTTGTTATGCAACACATTTTTTATTATCTTGGAAACTTACTTCTTCATGACCGTTCAGTTGGTCCTAATGGAGGTTATTGCCCTCATGTCGTTCCCCCCATTTATGGATTGACTGAGCTATCTTGTCACTTTTATCTGTGTCAACAGTAATCCTGCTTCCCACTTTACTGAGTTGTTGACATCCAACCCCTTGGGTAAATAACCAGGCCAATCCAATGAACAGAGGTCAGATCAGGGAGAATGCTTTGTCTTCCCTTCCTCCCTTCAACCAGCCTCCCAAATTCATTTCTAAATATTTATTCAGAAAATCCAGTTCTTATTGGGAGGCATGGCAGTGGGGAGGGAGATCCAATGAAGAATCTTAGAAACATTTTCCTCTTAGCAGCAGAGGATTAGCACTGACAAAACAGCTATGCTAACCATGGAAATTACAGAGAGCGTTACTGGCATCCGTCTGTCTCAGGAGACAATGGAGAAGTGTACCTTTGGAAGTGAAGTCAAACTGTTGGAAGGTTGCACCTCTAGAAAAAGAGGTGCCGGAACCCATCATGAACTTCTCCCTTGTTCTCTTATAATGGCAATGGCGCCCACCTGAGAAGCGCAGGAACTGAGTTCTGGACAGTTCCAGCTGGGGAAAAAGTCCTGCCCACGGGGAATTAAAATGGGAACACGTGATAAACCTAGAAGACTGTGGGATGGTGAGGTGCTATGGTAGCAAAGTGAAAATAAGCCACTGAGACATGATTGAGCCAAATTTAAGGACGTTGTTGATGCTGTCTGATTCAAGAGAGGTTGGCACAGACTTGTGGGTTTCCTTTGGTCCAAAGGTAAGCACAGCTGCTTTGTTAGGACTTGAAAGAGGCCCATTTTGTGAATTCCTTTGCACTAGGAATGTGTAGCATCCAACATACCATGTCAGAGCGAAAAGCTAGCTTTATAATCCTTATCAACAATCTATTCTAAATTAGATTATATTTTAACGGCTGCAAGTACCATTGAGGTAGAATGGATGTGAGAGACGGTAGTCTGGTGCATGAGTAAAACTAGCCATGTGAGTGACCTAATGGGAAGGGAATTCTATTTACAAGGGTGTTGAACAAATAGGTCTGTTCCGCACTCAGCCAGCCAGCGACTACTGCTGGGGCACATTTGAGGACATATTGCCCCTTCCTCGTTCCCTTTGGAAACCAAATGAGCAGAAATGATTCCCTGGCTCCCATGTCAACACAGGAAACCTATCTGACACTGCCAAGAGTCGGGAGGACCCTGGATAAGGCAGTGATGTTGTCACTGAAGTATTGGAGAGAAGAGATGTATTGCCTCTGTGCACAGCTGCAAGCTATGGGAGCTTCTGGATAAGCTGTTTCTTGAGCATTAATCCTGATTTGTTTGACAGCATTGGCTATCTAACGAGTGTTTCTTCTGATTTGTTTGTGAGGCGATTAGATGATGTTGTGGCAAGGCAAGTATTGTTGCGCACTTTCTGGTACATTTCCCAATCACTTTCCTTCTTGCAAAAAGTCTGATATTTTGGGGAAGGGGGTTTGTTGCACAAGGTCTCCCAAACAAGTGCAATTCTGCAACCTCAGATTGCTGGTATGGGGTTGAATTCCACCCAAAAATGGCATCGATGAGCCCAAAAGGGGGCCATCTCAATGGGGGTCACTTTCTGTGTTATACTTCAGAGCTATGTTTGAGATGCCTGAAAGTGGTCTGTACCCAGATCCCACAGTCTATTCACTATGTAGGGATGGGAAAGGAATTTGGTTCAGCTAGGATTTTAATATGAACCTTCCTGGAGAGCCAGTGTGGTGCAGTGGTTAAGAGCAGTAGTCTCGTAATCTGGGGAGCCGGGTTCGCGTCTCCGCTCCTCCACATACAGCGGCTGGGTGACCTTGGGCCAGTCACACTTCTTTGAAGTCTCTCAGCCCCACTCACCTCACAGAGTGTTTGTTGTGGGGGAGGAAGGGAAAGGAGAATGTTAGCCGCTTTGAGACTTCTTAAAGGGAGTGAAAGGTGGGATATCAAATCCAAACTCTTCTTCTTCTTCTAATTGACCCTTTCCAAAACCATATGTGAACCAAAACACGGTTATTATTTGAATTTAGTGCTTCTCCAACTAAATAGTGTTGACATAGATTACATACAAAAATGTGTAAATTGGCAGAAATTTACAATAAAATGCTGGTGAGTTTTAACACATTGTTAACAAAAGGGGGAGGGGCAAACTGAATTTATGACTAGAAAAATGAGAAACTGAGTGAAACCAAGAGAAACCAAAATTGATATTCTGTGCTAGGCATGAATTTGGGTATCATTCAGAAGATATTACATGGAAATGGGAGATTTAACCATAGTTACACTTAACCTTTGTAAAGTATTTTGTGTTCAAAGTAACTCATGTGCATTGTGTAGCTGTACAAGTCAGCACATTTACCACATACTGCAGATGGAGCGACTGAGGACAGGTGGTTTGCTTAAAGCTACATAGTGAGTTTACGGACGAAGCAAGATTTTTAATATTTGATGGTTTACTGTGGTTTCATAATTTGTTGGAAGCTGCCCAGAGTGGATAGCAGCACTAATAATAATAATATTATCACCAGCACCAGCACCATCAAACTGGGGGTTTTCTATATCCACTTAGTAAGCCCCACTGAACTCAACAGGGCTTCTGTGAAAATATGTGTAGGACTGCACTGCCGTTTTTGCTACACTAGACCAACGGTCTCTAAATATAAAAATCCCACAAGATCTTTTAAGTTGGTCTGAGCTAATGCACCACAGAAAGTGAAAGAAAGAAAAAAATATAGCACATTTTACCAGTGTTACTTTTCAACTTTAAGCTTAGGAAATGTTTAAGGCCTACTCCACCAACAGACTGGGGTTTCTCCTCAGCAGGCTTTATTTATTGATGGCGGCAGGGCCCAAAGCTGGTAATAATTAATATATTACAAGATATATCTGGGATTACAAATTAGCCATGTTCCCATTAAATATTTTGTTGTGCTATCTAGAAGGAAAAGTTGGGACGTGTGTTCTTGAAGGCAGCACTAATCTCCAGTGTGGTGCTGTAAGTTTAGCAAGCAACTGCTCCTAAAGACCAAACACCACATGGCAGCAACAGAGCTGTTTGTTGAAAACAGGGCCTTCACCGAAGTGCATACCAAGCAGGGGGAAATGTCTAATGTTTACCACATGAAGAGGGTATGAAGGTTGCAGGGGCTGCACCCTCCTCACTGCCTCTTCCCCCACAAGATTCGCTTTTTTCCCTCCTCCTTTTTCCATTTGTGTCGTTTCTTTTAAGATTGTAGGTCTGAGGGCAAGGGGCTGCCTTTATCGATTACATTTTTTTAAGTCTTTCAGGTAGCTTTCTGGCTGGAAAAAGGAATACAAAGGCCCACCCCAATACGTTTTGCTGTCTGAGGCAAAGGACAAAGTGAAGCTTCCTCCATTTCAATGCAAAAGCTGCTTAGACTAGTAGTTGAAACTTTTTTGACACCAGTGATGGGACAGCCTCCTCCGCAGGGCAGGGGACACAGGCAGTCAATATGTGTAATAGAAATGTAATAAAATAAACCATCAATGATAAAAAAAAAATATTCAGGACTGATCAAGGCTGCATCTTGTTTTTTAAAAAGCGTATTTTATGTTAAGGTACACATTTTCTCTTAACAAATCTGTTGACTCATATTTACAAGATAGGGAAATTACTTCACTTACCCATCGTCTGAAGAGATTAGGGCACATGTTGTGTGACAACCTACACGTAATTCTAGGAATTCTTTTATGATGGTGGAAGAATGACTAAAAGGCATTCTTCCACCATGGGGGGAAGGTGGACAGGAGAGAAGAGCAGAGGTCTCAGAGAATGATGGAAGGCTAATAACATGACTTTAGAAAGACACATCATGGAACCAGATCTAAAAGCCTTTCCCAGATTGATAACTAATGCTATGTTTAACTAAACCTCTGGGTTTAAGTTATAGCCCATTTGATTATTAAAAGAATTATTGTAGTAGCAGTTATTTTCCTGGGTGTGTTTTCTAAAAAGAAGATCTATTTATTTATTGCTGCCTGTTTAGCCATGGGAAGAAAACTGCAGCTTTGTCCTCATATAAAATGTTAGTATTAAAATGTGACTGCAAATCCCGATTAGCAGCTCTAGCCTTGCACAGTTCCATAATAGGGACAGTCCATTGTTGTTAAATCTAAAAATTACCATTCTAGCTTAGGTGTACTTGTCACAGATTCTGAACTTTGCTTGCACCAAGATTCCTTTCCTTAGATATTTTTTCCACCTATGAGAGTGCAATTAAATTAAAAATAGCCGAACAAACTCATCCTCTGCCAATTTTTGCTAAGTGTATGTTGTAACTACATACACAAAACTTTTTTTAATGACAACCCACAAGTCAAAAAACAATTCTCTTATTTAAAGTAGCTGATGTCAAAACAGTGAGCCCAGCCAACTCTTACCTTTTTGATCTGGTCCTCTTTTAGTTTTGTGAAATAAAACGACACTAAGTGTACAGCAAACATTTCTCTCTAATGCCTCAGTATTGATGGAACGGCTGTGAGCAACTAACTCCAGATCTCATTCATATACTATGAGGCCAGCAAAACTCACTTGCCGGGGCCATTTGCCAGCAGAGATGTTAATAAGAAACCCCAGAGCAGCCAGTCCTAAACAAGTCCATTCAGTGTAGTTGGTTCAATGATTAATCTCCAGCCTCTTGCTCTCTCCTCCTTCCCCTCTCCCCCCCCTCTCTCACACACAGAGTCCCTCCCACCACTTGGTATAGTCTAATGCTGAACAGGTGGCTAACTGCCAAGAGCAGAGAAAAGGAACCAATTAGCTACTGGCCCAATTTGGAAATGTTCTACCCCTGAACAAACCAGTTGCTATGGGTGCTTCTTTGCTTAACTGAAACCCAGCACGATCTTCCACAGCATGGCACACTTCCAGTAGGGGAAAAGTAGTAAAAACAAGCCACTTCAATGGGCATTGTATCGCTCAGAAACATTGCTGGGAACGGCATGGGAATAGAGGACACTCCTTCCCAGCCACCCAGCCGCTTGGCACTCTGCAGCATTGCAAAGTGCACTTTCCCAGTCTGCGACATTTTCGTCTCATCTAGGCAAGTCTTCGCAATAATTTGCCTGTGGGCTCTCAAGTGCCAGTCGTCTGCCACACAACCCCCAGATCTCAAAGAGTTTGAGAAAGGAAGAGCTGTGCAAATATATATATATGTATTTTTCAACCATGCACTGATGCTTAGGAGCTGCCATAGCAGAATGAAGTAACATGGCTGTTAAGATCTTGGACAGCAACAGATGCAAAAGGAGCCTTGCTTATAAACACAAAGAGCTGAGCTGTGTAGTACTTTGACAGAGGCATAATGGACATCACAAGCACTCGACTTTAGGTCCAACCTATCCTGTGGCTTATAATGCTGAATGTTCATAACCAAGGAGGTTGATCTATCCAGAGAGCGGCAGCCTCAGTTGTATCTTCCAACATGACCGATCCCCAGCATCCTATAGCTGGTGAAGTTTCCAAAGCTGAAATAACTTCACCACAAATTGAAGAGCCCAAAAAGCATGGCGCCAGTACAGCTTGTGAGTTTTGTTTACCGGAATTTGCTGCTAGCTGAACTAGATCTGTGTCTAGCGGGTGGCTGCTAGACAAGGTGTATCCAAGAGAAAGCTTTCCTAGCCCTAGATTAGCTCTGCTTAGTAAGTGAAACGTCATCCCCTCAGGCTGATGCTTAGCATATGCAATGGTATAGAACATTATAACATAAGAAGAGAGCTGCTGGATCAGGCCAACGGTCCAGCTAACGTAGAATCCTGTTCATACAATCATAGAGTTGGAAGGGACCACGAGGGTCATCTAGTCCAACCCCCTGCAATGGAGGAATCTTTTTGTCCAGTGTGGAGCTTGAACCCACGACCCTGAGATTAAGAGCTCTACTGACTGAGCTACCAAGGTGGTTCTCACAGTAGCCTACCAGATACATCTGGGAAGCCTGCAAGCGGAGCAAGAGCACAGCACTTTCTGCACTTGTGATTTCCAGCAACTGACACCCAGAGACTCCACTGCAACCGCTCTCAGCCTCTTCACAATTGCACACAGAAAGAAAGAACAATGGACTCATTGTCCATCAGTGGCATCATTATCCTCCGTTCCCCTGTACCGTCAATTAAAAGGCCAGCAGCTACAGAGTGCTGAACAATGGCAGCACAGCGATGTCATCCTTGTTCGGATGACCTCCTGGAAAACGGCTGATGGGGAAAGGGCAGTGGGGGAGACGAATGCAAGAAAAGTTTCCCAAACATGCTGGTCTTCAACGGACGAGTCGGCACCCACTACTGCCTGACCAAAGGTGGATATGACAGCAGTGAAAATTTAAGACCTGGGTCCCCTAATTCATAATTACATTAAAGGAGAATTCTCAGTCTGTAAAAGTTAAGACTGCAAAAAATATGTTCCTCCCGAGTTTTCTTTCGTAGCTTGCCACCATCTCAAGGTCTCTGCTTTCCCACCTGACACACCACTTTACGAACCTATCGCAGCTTTGCATAAAAGTTCAGGCCCTGCTCCTCTTTCCACTGCAACAGGCAGGTTCCTTGGCACTTCTCTTGCCACTTCTCCAATCACCTACTGTGCCCAATCTCTTATTCTGTGGTCCCAAAATCTTTTGAAGACAGGGAGAACTTGGATGGGGGGCCAACAATAACACTCAGCAGCATGCTAATAAACACAGCTTCCAGACCACAGGAACATAAGGAGACTGTGCATGACACTCCCATTTACCTCCTGTATAACCTCAAAGAGGCCACTGGAGTGCTTTATAGCAAAAAGAGAGGATGGTGATTCATATGGTCACCTGGTGGCAATTCTTACTCACCACAGGGGATCAGACTAGTTAAATGCAAGCCTTCTGTATTAGCACTAAAAACAGGAGATCATTTCAGGAGGGAGCTGTTGTGTTTCTTACACAGTCAACCTTGGAGAGGAGCTTAGTCTTTACTACTTGTCTCCTTTCCACAAAATACTTGGCATTCATTCATCTCCCCCACAGCAAAATTAAGGTTCCAAAATTTGCCTACTGCTCCAGTCTACACACCCCAATTCTATTAAATCCTATAAAATGCCATTCAGGTTAATAACATGTGGAGAATTCTGTCCTGAGCTAGCTAGCTCCAGAACTTGTTAGCAGAGGATTAGTGCAGTAGTACACCCTATTCATTTAGAAGATCATGTGAACCCAGTTAACTCTTCATCGAGTCTAATTGTATCCACATCATTAGTGTGGAAGTAAACTTTCGTCCAAATCAGCCTTAGAAACGCTTGAGCAAACTTCAGAGTGATTATAACAGTTACTATGGAGACACTATGGGAACACACAGCAAATTAAAGGAAGTGCTAATCTCAGCAAAATTCAAAAGAATGTCCCAGTTAGTGCTCTGCGCCTTAAAGGCTCACTACTCAGAACCCAAGATTTCGTTTTGTACTTGCAAGCGCACAGCTCCAGCGCTTTCTTGTCTACGGGATGTTCCGAGTCATTCAAATGTCACACAGCCACAATCTCAAGGTCACATGGAAAGGAGCCACAGCCAACTCTGACTGCCGCAATCAACGAAGTTCATTCTTGAAATATATACTACAGCAATAAATGATAAGCCTACGATATCAGCTTCAGGTAGCCACCGTGCCCTTCCATGGAGCAAAGTTCTCCCTTTCCAAGTCTGCTTCTGTGCAAGTATTACAACATGGGCAGCATCAACCCCTCTTAACTGCTAGGGTGCGTGTTCAGAGAATGAAAGGCTCAATTCTAAGGGCACTTTCCACTAAATATATTTTGCCCTTTCACAGAGAAATATTGTATAAATTTTCTTCATACTTCATTCGAGAGTACAGTGGTACCTCGGGTTAAGTACTTAATTCGTTCCGGAGGTCCGTTCTCAACCTGAAGCTGTTCTTAACCTGAAGCACCACTTTAGCTAATGGGGCCTCCTGCTGCCGCCGCGCCGCTGGAGCACAATTTCTGTTCTCATCCTTAAGCAAAGTTCTTAACCTGAGGTACTATGTCTGGGTTAGCGGAATCTGTAACCTGAAGCGTATGTAACCCGAGGTACCACTGTACTGAAAATTACTTTCAAAAAGAGACACGGTGAGATAGAATCATGACCTTTCCCCCAAAGCACTCTTCCAAAGAATGCAACCTATTTCCTTCCTGTGAAGGATAATTAGAAAGTGTGGGTTGGGTGTCCTATCTGAGGGTGTTACGAGTCAAAAGACCTTTCTACTAATCTGTTTATCTGCTGAACTATGTACCTCGTCGAATGAGATGGATGACCAACTGCAGAGGTAGGCTGCGTTATTAGAAAAATACGCATGAACTTTGTGATGTGACTCATTGGCTTTGAGCTATCTGAGGTTCAGTGTTTAAACAAAGATGTGTGGTCCCTTTGGATCAACGTTATGGTTTGGGGTAGCACGACATTCACAGAATATGCTTGCTGCAAACTTTACACTTATAATGACACCTACAACTTCAGCTCCAAGCCCGATAAAGTTCATGTAGCTGCATTTACTCACATTCATCTCTTGTGGTATTGTTTTCTCCTCTCCTCCTGTTCTCACCCACCTGCCCCAATCAGAAACGGTGTGCTGTACTGCAGTTCTCTCAGTCCATGACCATTAACTTTGCTGAGGCTGATGGGAGATGCAGTTCACAATCACTGGAAGTCAAGACTCTAAGTGCCCCATTTTGTTTCTTGCTTCTGGTGTAAAGCACCGTTTAAGGCAATGTACAACTGGAAAATTCTTTTACTGTTTATAATACGAATTTTTAAAAATCTATACCTACATCAGGATGGAAAACATGTGCCACTCAAGATACTGTTAAGACTACAACTTCTGTCCTCTCTAACCACTGGCCATGCTGGCTGGGGCTGACTGTAGTCCAAAAACATCTGCAGGGCAACAAGTTCCTAACCTATACCATCAAAAGACCAAAGCTTATTAAATATAATTTTTATTTTGCAAAGACACAGCATCCTATTTCCTCTTCTTCCCTTTGTTTGGGCCTGTGTTTTCATCTGTGGCACAGCCCTTGCGACGAGCCAGCCACTCATGTTCCAACTGTTTCAGCATATCTTGGGTGAGGAGTCCCTGCTGTATTAGTCTGGCAGCCAGAGCGCCCTGAGCTCGGCCCTGTGCTTCAGCAGGCCTATAGTTCATCGCTTTGGATCCCCTTGCTCGTCGGTGCCCTTGGGTCTTCACGTCACTTGGGGAAAGCTCTCCGTTAGCCTCTAGGAGGTCTTCCGCATTCAACATCCCATTGCCAATGCTAGCCCTCTGGAGAGGAAAGTCGTCTGGTAAAGTGACAGACCCAGAAGCGGCCTGCGATACTCGGATCAGCCTCGTAATGTTAAGCACCCCGACTTGTATAATGTCGTCCAGCTCCTTCTGTATGTCCCTGACGAGAGCAGCATCCGGGAACATGTCCATAAACCGGTAGCTACAAGGAAACATGCATGTATGGTAAGTTCAGACCAAGAATTCTTGAAAGGTTAACAGCCCCCAGCCCCTTCAACAGGCACTTTGGGACCTCTTCACTAAAATGCTGAATCCAGCTACTTGTGTGAGCAGAACCTCTGCACATGCAACAGAACTTCCTCTCCTTTTTCTCCCATCACCTGCATGCTCTCTGCTCTGGATCTGCTCTGGAGCTCCCCCCTACCCCATTTTGGGGTGCTGGCGAAGGGGGGTGAAGAAAAAAAAGAAAGTTCTGTTATGCAAGTAGAAGTTGTTCCACTCATGCAATAACTTGGCTAGATTCAACCCAAACGTCTTTGGACATCTGTAGTCCTGGGCATTAACTGATCAGCATATTATCTGTTATGCACTTCAAGTTTCTGGGGTTAAGATACAAATGAAACTATGTAGCAATTTAGAGCAAACAGCTGATCAAGTTGTTATACCTCAAAAACACATGTAATCTGGGGTGTGGGTGTGTTTAAGTGTAATATGCAATACCATTAAGCCAAAAGGCTTACAATAAAGAGCTAATATCACACACAGTTTATGCATAGCCTAGTAGACAAGATAGAATATTTTAAATGAAAGGAAGGCAATGTCTGGCTCTCCAAGTGTCACTGAACTACAAATCCCATCAGCCTTAGCCAGTTTACCCCAAGGACGATGGGAGTTGCAGTTCAGAAACATTTGGAGAGCAACCCGTTAGCCACTCTGGTTTGAAACCATCTATAAAATAGCTGTGTTTTATTCCACAGTTCTCCAAGAAGTTCGTGGCAGCAGCACGCAGTGGGTTACCCATTTTATACTTGCATCAGTCATGTGCAACAGTTTAGGCTGAGCATGGATTTAAATCCAAGTATCCCTAATCTATGTCCAGAGCTCTACACCCCACCCCTCACCTCTCCCTCATCTGTTCTCCACCTCCAAAAAAGCTCTTGTTTCTCTTCTGCATTAACTGAATAGGTCGAAAGAACTGGTTGTTCAGCCTCTGTCTTAGCAGAGCTGACAGTAAACGACTTCTCTCTGGTCCCAACTTAATGACACTTCAAATATGCAGTTTCTGATATGCTACAGTTCTCTCCCAGAACTGCTCCTTCCCCAGACCCATGCAGGAAATCGCTTGTTTCAAAGTGCCTCTATTTCAAAATCTCCCTGGACATGGAAAGCAAACCCATCTTGGAAGAGGCTGCCTTAGACGCCATCTCCCTGTTGGGTGTTTTCCACATGCAGAGAAATTTTGACAAGGAGGAGATTAAAAGACCAGTAGTTCCCCACCAACATTTTGCGTTGGTGTCATCTCACATGAGGACTGAACCATGCTTTTACCCAAA